ATGGGGATGTTACGTAAATACACGAAGAGTAGCCGTGTAATTGCACACCGCAAGCATTTACCGTAATCCCAAAACTGTTTGCATTCACCCATGGAGTGCAAATGAGATGCCATAGGTTGGTCACTACGTAGGCAAATAATGACCAACATAGTGTACCTTAAATATTAAATGGATCCTACGCTATAAGTTTCTAAGAAATCACTTCATGCTTCTTCCCTTTGTAGAAACGGCGAAGTTTTGCGGTTTTCTCTCGGCAGCTACGCACTAAACGAAGCAGCTATTGTTTTTTTTTTTTTTTACAAGTTGTCTGATCAGCCGTTTCACTGACATCGTAGGGTATCCTACTTGTCTTTCAGCACCTGTATCGTTGCGCACTGTTCGTTCTTGGAGGGATTATACATGATTTTCATTCCAATCCATTTTGTATATTGAACGAAGGCATTTGAATTTTCCTCCGCTACTATGAGGTATCAGCGGCTGGAACAGACCTATAGTCTAACGCGCCTTCCTCATCTTGCGAGGTCTCGATTTCCTCTGTGGTTCTCAGTTTGGATGCGATTTTCCCTTTTGTAAATGCGGGGTCTGATTCACGGCCAAACGTTCTTTCCACGCGGCTATATCTCTGTCCCAGTGAAGAGAAAGATCACTACCGCAGACACCCATTCAGGGTGCTGCTTTGCTTCTCGCTCGGAAAGGAAGCCACCAACCTTTCGTTTCGAAAGGCAGCGTCAGCGGCTAGGGATCAAGATCTCAATGTAGCGAACGCCCGCGTCCACCGCCGTCTAGTCTAGGAGTCATGAATAGGGATATTTGAGGAGACATCATGAAAATGCGTCGTGTGCGACCGCACCGTACAACTGCCAAAGCTTAGAATTAAGCTGGCTTGATGTAAGGTGTAGGGCAGCTTTGAGGTGCCGTAGCACGCACCGCAATATCGGATGCCAACCAGTGTGCTAACCTGCCATAATCCCCACTCCTGGACCCCCTTGCACGCTGGAGTTCGCTACTTCAAAGATAGCTAGTGTTCGCTGGCCCCGTTGATTAAGCTAGTGGTCCCCTGGTGATGCATGGCATGTAATCTTATGTTCAGGAAGTCGAACTACGCCTGGAGACCTACTTTACACAAATTGAAGACGGAACTCCAACTTCGAAAACTTAGCATAAATTGTCCCAAAAATTGCAGAGTGACGAGAAGCATTGGTCATTTTTCGATCTACTCCCGAACCTGTACGTCTTCGAACTAATGCGATTAATTCGTTTCATCAATGCTACAATTTTTATTTCTTCAATTCGTCAATTCTTCCGATAAGAGACGGGAAGAGCCGTACCAGTTACCAAAGTAGAATTAGTACGGAATGTTTAGCTACGGAATGTTTCCTTGAAAGCTATCTTGATAAAGAACCCATTAATACAATTACCAACCTATCGCACCACAGTTCACTTCATGGGCGAATGCAAACAGATTGGGGTTACGGTAATCGCCTGATGTGTGCAATTACACGGCTACCCTTCGTGTATTTACGTAACATCATACTTGAGGCCTGATTACGAATGCTGACCATTCGTACTTTGCGTTTTTTTTGGCGCCATTTGCGCACTATCGTCTTGGCGCCACTACGCGCCAATTAAGCGCCATATTGGCGCATAATGGCGCCAAATGGCGCCAGCTTGAAACCAGTGTGATATTCGTGATCAGGATGTCTTAACCCCCATATGCAAGTTTTCATCGACTTTGGTGAAAAAAGTGGTGGGCGCCAAATTGGCGCATGATTTTCGCCAAATGAGGCCAGCGCTCGAAACTTTTATGTGAGTAATTCGTGACGCGAGCGCACGCATTAAGCTATGGGCAAACGTTTCAAAAAAGTTTTTTTTGAGTTATTACGGGTAGGATAGCGCCCAGTTTTTATTGATTTTTCGGATAATATTGAGATTATTATCTGACTATCTCTCGAAATTAGATCAACGGACATGAAAGCACACTATGATAAAATCACAGCTTAGTTATGGACATGAACTGAACTACTGATAGCAATCAACCGTAGATCCAAAAAATCACATTTTAGCCCGCGCAAGCCTCTCGCCGAGGGTTTCCCCTATACACCGGTGCGTGTTGCACTCCAAAAAAAGGTTCAACTTTTTTTTCTCTCTCCGTAATGTGCTGTTACGAATTTTTATTACTAAAGGTGGAGCAAGTATACAAAACGCATCTGAAACAGTTGGGTTTAATAGGAGCGAGAGAAGGTAAAGTAAGAACGAAGGCCAGAAAAAAGGCGCCTATAATTGTTTCCACCGGAAGTGTACTCTCCTTTTCATTACGGACTGTCGGTGCGTATCAGCCAGTAGGAGTGCGCACAATGTTTGAAGCCGTTCTCAGCCTTTTCGTTGAAACGCGTATGCGACAAAAACGGGTCAAAACGCAGTATATGAAGGATATAATGCTGTCATGTCATTTGCTCACTTCAACAACTGTGCAGAAAGACTTTGGCACCGCGGAAAACGCAGCCGCACTGACCCGCCCCGACAGTCCGTAATGATCTGAGAGTGTACTTAAAGACCAGCACGTAATCGAAACTGAAGTCGGCAAACAATTAACTTTAGCAGGCAGATGATTGAGATGGAACCCAATCTACCAGGTCACTTTGCAAACTCTGTGAACATGACGGGCCTTTCTGATGCTATCCTGTGAACGGCGCTAGTCCTACATAATCAGCCATTTTATTGATTTCTGTCAGCCTACTGGACCAATTGTAAATTGTTGTGAAGCCTAGTAAAAACTATGAAATGGTATTAGTCGCATGTTCACGGAATATCATCGATTTTTCAGAAAGGCCACTCGGCGTTCAGTCGATGGTGGGACAAGCTAGTGCTGCCCGCAGGCAAAGAGGATGTATCACTTTCTCAAAAGCACTTCAGGAAGGAGTGACCCACTCGCAACGAAGGCCATGCCCCGCCCACTGCCCTATGCAGCACTCAAACTTCATTTATAAAGGCTTCCTGGTGGTGCGATTGTTTCGTAAATAATAGCTTAACTAATTTATAATAGCGAAAGCCGGGTGATAAGCCGGCGAACACGCGACGCGTGCGCGCCGCCGGTGAGTTTATTTTCGTGAAGCCGTGGGATCATGATCGTGGAAGGAAGTCGCAAAAGCACGGTCATGCGTATTTGAAACCTCAAAAATAACAAGGCTTCCCGCATTATAATTAGTTGCGAGGGCTAATCGATGTAAAAGTCAATATTTTTCATCTATGAGTCTAGAACCAAGCGGAACGGTGCCAGAGGGATGGAGGGCTTGGTTGGTCCCCTGAGCAAAGACCTTCACCAAATAATCAGGCCATGTTATAAAGGGCGCACTCGTGTCTCTTCGCCATCAATCGCAAATTTTTGTCTAGGATATCTGAGAAGCGGTATCGTGATTGAGTTGGATCCTTGTGCGAAAGACCCCTCCCCCACCAATAATGACTTTCGTCGCTTTCACCGAGGACGGTTGACCTACTCCTTCCAACTGCTGAGACTTGTAGGTAATATCAAGTAGAGAGCGTGTTGAGGATAGCAGTAAACAGCTCAACAGTAGTTGACAGTAACCGAGAAAAAATACTTATACTATTTTACTTGAATAAAACGATCCCTCAAATATTAGTGTTCTAGCAAATTCAAACAAGAAAAAAAAAGCAAGGCCACCTAGTATGAACAACATGATTCCTAACAGAAAAGGTTCCTTAAAACGTGAGTTGAATAGAAAATGGCAGAATCACATGCAGTAAGGCAATATAATATGTTCAAACATATGAAGCTCACATGAAGCCCTCATGCTACATTGCGCGAATCAGCTTCAGTCATCGTCTAGACGTCCTTGATTTCACCGGCTACCGCGATTGCTTCGATTTCAACAAGAGCTTGTTTTGGAAGTACGGCAAACCTTGAATAGCTACTCATTATGAAAGCTCACTCAAATGGATCAAAAAAATATGTAGGCTTCCAGTCTTATTAGCCCGTTTCGGGATGCGCCAGGTATCCTACTTCTGCTGAGAATCATAGTGGCATTTTGGATATGATTTGACCTACAGGATGGTTTGCGGTGATCATATGATTTGAATTATTTTATACTGGTAGATGCAGCGTTTTTTGTAGGATCATTGTTATTTTCGAAAAAGTAGGTTGTTGCAATTTCAGGTAGTGTATTGTGAGAAGGGCGGTGAGGTGGGGAGGAAGGGTTCTCGAAGAAGTATCTAATTTCCGTTCCACACCTGCCCTTAGGTTCATGTGAAAGTAACTGTTCCTCTATTCCCAAACGGATCCGAAGTGAAGGCTTGTGGCCCGGCGGGATGTAATTAACGTGATTTTGACGGGCCCAGACTGTGTTCCTTGCGACTTCATAGCTGCGACGCGCATGAAGAAATGGCAGAAATTAGCGCCGACACACTCACAGTGCGGAATCTGAAGAAATGACGAAAAGCAACAGATACGTATCGATCTGAAGAAATGCAGAAATGCCGAAAGTGAAGAAGTGCGGAATCTGCCAGAAATGCAGGTGCGGAAAATCGATACGTATCGGTTGCTTTTCGTCATTTCTGCATTTCTGCATTTCTTCATGGTCCCAAGCTATGAACGCGGCCTTGGGAAGGTTAGAATGCACTGCTGGTGATGGATACCAAACTAGTAGCTTTTCCGCGCGGCAAATAAAGGAAACAGTCCGCATTGCCATGTAGCCCAAACTGGAATAATGAGTACATAAAGTACCTGATATGCTGCTCTTGCTGGATATTTAGTTGTGAAGTATTCTTTGTAGATGTCATTAACGGTAGTGAAGTCTTTAATATCCGCCAACAAAACAGTAGTTTTGACGACTGAAAATGAAAATAAGAGGAGAAACTGTAGTAGATTTGTAATAAAAATGAAATTAAAGAGTATGATGAATTTTTCCGCAATCTCCTTGTTTGCCACGTTGAATTGAAAATTAGTTCTTGGGAATTCACACAACGAAGGATGTGAAGTCGAATGGCGAAATATTTGGGGAATTTCTGCGCAAATATTAATATCTGGCATGTATCTAGCGATAAAGGCGTTTGCTTGTAGCTTGAGTGTCGAGGCGCTTCGTAGTCATTTGGTCGACTACTTGATTTGGACAACGACTAGCACTGTCCCCGCGCACATCACCAACGCAATGAGAAAAATTTTCAAAAATGACCCACCTTGCTCGAAGGATATCTACATGGGATTGTTCTGATCCTACTACCTTAAAGGCAGCGCCCGCGTTTATTTGATATTCCTACGTCCTCCTCAGATATCGTAGCTTTGTCGACAAGGGTGGATGTAGCTCAATTTCGCAGCTCAAAAATACGAGAGGATGGCGCCACCCGCTTGTGAAGAGGATGCCGCCCCGCCCACCTGGCTGCCATAACTGCTTTGGCTTAGCCTTTAAAGGCTGAGCCCGCTTCAAGAATAATGAGTTATGGAGCTCATATAATACGTGATCCAGCAGTGAAGAAAAAAAAAGCAGAAAAAACCATGGAAAATGCCCTATATAGAACCCTATCTGCCAGCGTGGCGGGGCGTTGAACTTCACTAGCGAACGGCGCCCGCTTTTTTGAGATGCAAAACTAGTACATATTGCATCCTCATAAGGAGGGCTATGATATCCAGAGAGGACGGAGGAACATCAAATGGACGTGGGCGCTGCCTTATAAACTCTCAGGCCTCGCATCGCAGTTTACACCAGCCTCTAAAATGGAGACAATTGCTCAACAACAACCGTTTCAGTTGGTCGATGAATTCATTACCGCACTTCTCTGACCGTGAAAGGACCCCGTCACTCATCTAGGTACCGAACTGCGGTAACATCATCCATTTTCATTTTAATTTGGAGTTCCAGGTATAAATGAGGAATCTCATCATAACTGACGCTCTCAGAACGAAAATGCATTCGCGTGGACATGATGGCTGGCGGCGAGCAACTGCTGCCAACGTCACTGGTGGAAGAGCTGCGAAAGCGCGTTTGACCACACTTCACTCAGCCCCTCCACCAATGACGAAAGCAGTAACCGCCTGCCCCCAACCATCATGCCCGCGATTGGGCGGAACCCGCGATTATGATCCACGGACAATGATGTTCAAATATGAGTGGCATGGCGCTAAATAACTCAGCAATCGATAAATAACTCAGGCAATGAGAAAAAAAAACTGCTGTAAACGCACGAAATAAGGTTCGAGTTGCTTCTAAGCGCTTATGGTTGAGAAATACTGAGTCCAGCAGAGAAAGAGACAATGGTCTAGCGAGAGAGTACAAAATGGGCTGCAAATTTCGTCGGCTATACTAAGGATGTTGAAATGAGATGAAACGGGATTACGAAGGCGGAGACTGCTTATCGTGGCAGAGCCTCGGTGCTCCTACCGAGCACTTCTGCGCCACCAAAATGGTACGTCCTCTTCGGATGTGGACCGCGCCTTGTACAAGGATGAGCTTCTTGGTCGGACAACTGCAGATCGGTCGTTAAATATGTACGTATTTACCTTTGATAGTCAGAGGAATGCTCCACTCTCAGCGCCCAATCCACACTTACCCCTAGCACTCCCATTTCAAGAAGGGAGTTCTAAAGACTGTCCCATATTTTTAGCAGCCGCCAGTTCAAGCCAACTTCAACATCACCGATCATTCTGACAGAGAGAAACGAAGAAAGCGCTTTATCTCGCAAGTGAGTCATTTCGTGGATTAGCAGTCGTTTCGTGGCACAGTTAGGCTATTATAAACAACAAACAACATACCGTTTCCATATCCAACTCCAGCTGCTTTCAGTATCTCACCAATATTCTTGAGTGATTGATGGGCCTGCTCTTTGATGCCTTCCTTCAACTCTCCAGTTTTAGGGTCTAACCTAGTGAGCCGCTAACGTAAATTGTGTTATCGACACGGACGGACGTTGGTGAAAACAAATTTTTTCAGAAGAGTGTTCAGAGCTAACGAGTGGTTCTCTTGGAGTATTAAAACGAAAGATTTCAGGTTTAGCTTAATCAGTGAGAACAGGGCGCTGTTCATCGTGGGGGTGGGTGCAGCTGACGAACTCCCTGCGCACTAGGATTACTGTGGCTCAAAATACGCATGTCACCTCCAGTCTTGTTCGCTGTGGATACGGGGGCGTGTTCAATAAGAGGCGGGTCTTACGCGCAAAGGCAGCTCTCCGTCGCTAGGCTGAAAGAAAAAAGCAAAAAACGATTTGGCGCCGCGCAAAACCTAACCCATTTCGACACGTCTCATCATCCGCAGCGAAGAAGACTGTAAACAAAATTATTCGCCTACCCCCGGGGCTCGTTTACTTTTCATGTTCAAGCGAAAACCTTCATCTCTTATTGTATAGGAAAACCGGCTTCAATGAAGATAAAGCTCCCGTTAGCCTTCGTTCCATGTCCCACATTTTTGGCCTGCGCCACGCGCTCTTTCTCCACTGAGAGTGGCAGTGGCCACGGAATGTGATATGGGCGATACGGTGACTTGCGGGGTCAGTTGATGTACAGGTTTCGTGCTTTTAGAGGAGTTTAGAAGACAAGTCGTCGGCCCAGGGGATTGGAAGGCATGATGGGGCGCAGTTTGCGACGAGGGGCACCTTGCACTTTCGCTGTGCGGTTCCGGTTTACATGTCTCACTCAGGTGAAACCTATAGCTCTTGTAAAGCTGGAGCAAGCCACCACTGTAAAATCTGTCAACGCTTGTAAGCTCATAAACAGTCTCTAAACGGCTCGACACGTCGATGGGAAGTAGTGAAAGTGCAAATGTCCCCTCCCTGTCGCCGAATTGCCCCATGAGTGATTTGGGAGGTAGTCGATTTGAGATTTGCGAGCGCGTGGAAAGAAACGCTACTATCCTCTAGAAATATCCCGCACAATTTTGGATAGACACAGTTCTTCTACATGGCCTACAACTAATACGCTTAAAAGTTCGGCAGAAGCGATGCAACTGCAGGTTTTGCTGCATCACCCGGCTATGTGTGAAACTTGTGTGTACTTGGGAGAAGACGAAATTGCCCGACGATGTGAACTGCGAAATTTAATGAGCAAAACGACATGACAGTCGTTTGCCTTCGACCGCACGTCTCATAAAGCTATAACTGGCACCAAGCTGGCATATGGTGGACGGGTTTAGATGAAAGTGCTCACCTGTACGGTCCCACAGCACCTGGAGCATTGGCAGTATGAATGATTTGCCTTGTTATTTGGGCCATCTTCTCAAGACTGCGCTTTCCTAAAAAATAAGAATCAATAAATTAACTTTTCACACCGAAGTATTAATCGCCACCAGTCCCCAGCGTGGAATCTTCCTCAATCTCAAGTCAAGCTTTCAAGCATCATATGTTTCCCCTTTGGGGGCTTCCAGTCGGTTGCATAACAAGCCTTAAAATTTTTCAGTGTGGAAGGGGAACAACCCTGTCAGAAACAAGTCGCAAAGAAATTCACCGAAAAATGATAACGCAATGTAAAATTCAAAAATGCGTGGTCGCGTTAGTGTTTCCGTGTTGTAATAGGTCTTGCCCCTGTGATAAGCGCTTATCTTCAGCGAAAATGATGGTTTATATTATTTGTGATTCGCCAGATCAAAGTGATCCCTGAAGGGCAAATAAAAAAAAACTTCCACTTATTTTCTGATTTGCTCCTGGAATCCTAACGGACTGTTTGAATTTTGATTCTCAGCAATTTTATTATTGTCTAATATGGGCCTATCATAATCTAGTAAAAATTTATGTGACGAAAATTTATTGACGCTATCCTTCTACCAACCTCCACAAATCATAAGCGATGCATCCAATATCGTTTCGGTAGTGACCGACGTAACCATATCCAGCAGTGGAAGGGCGTGGCTCGTGCGTACTTCGTCGTCGAATGGCGGCGATTGTGTAATGATTCCTACGAAATAAACATCCCTTAAACGAAATTCCATGGCGCCTGTTATCGACGGGGGGGGGGGGGGCATTCTGCTTTTCATAGATTTGCCAACCCATCTAGGTACCCTTTTTTCGAGTTGACACGTTTTAGGATGGTGGCTAGACGATCTTGCTCCAGCTTCACAAGCGTTCACAAGTTTACCAGAGTGAGACTTGTAAACTGGAAACCAGGGAAGCGATTATGATACGAAATGTCCCCCCCCGTCGATAAACAGCGCCCGAAATTCCCTTCCTATGTCCGGAATATGGGGTGTAGACATTTCAAGACCCTCGCAAATTATTAGTTCGTATCCTTAGGCCTGAATTTTGCGCCTCCCCCCCTCTCAACTAAGCTAGGAGCAGTACGTGCTGGCTTGGAACCAAAACTGTGGCTGAAGAGGACACAACATGTGGCCAAACATCCCGTGGGTGTTTACGCGACTTTCGGACGGGCTGAGTGGAAACGGCGGTGGGCTAAATTGGCGCATAATGGCGCCAAGATGACGCCAGCGCTTGAAACGAATGTGATATTCGTGATCAGGACATCGAATTACATCTATAGGCAACGTTTCAGCGAAAATTTTTTTTGAGTTTTTGGGGTAGGAATAGTTCAATAGTGCCAAAAACTGGAATATGCGAGAAAGGCAAAAAGTGCTACCCTCCTGTTCAGAAACAGTAGCGCCCTTTCGCCTGCGTATCTGCGATCTTGCAAGCCCCGAAAATACGCTTAAAAATAGGGTAAACAAATACCAAGGACCCACACAACGTTTTCTACGCTCTAACTCTCAACCAAAAAGACCCACTATGTTCGTTGCGTGAAAGACAAAACGTAAGTTTCGTCGTAGAGTATCGGAGATGAAGCAATGATTTCTACAGTCTAACTCTCAGTCAAACTCACTGGCACAGTTTAGATGACGCGATGGTCACACAGATCCCCACTCTTCACTTGTCCTGTAAAATTTGCAACCGCCCTGAATTTGAGAGGAAGAGCACGCGACGAGAGAGTGTGTGAGTGAGCGAAGCGGCTGCGAGACGCAGAGAGGAGTAGAGTGGGCATGTGTCATATCGATCTTTGCGAGCTGCCCTCAACCGATAGGTTTGCTCTGGATACATTTGTTACTCATTCCTTTATACATCTCTCATTCTCTACTATGATCACTGTTTCCACTCCCCATGGGATGTGTACGCGCGTCGCATAGTGCGGTTCTTTCAGAAAATGATTCAGATTAGAAGAAGGAATAGACATAGGTAGAAAAACACTACAAAACAATGGTTCAGTCAGGGGATACTTATGGTCCACATTTGTGCGTCATCTGCACTTCAAGTCTCATTTGCTAGTTGACGCTAACGTGGCGAAGTTCTGGTGGTGGGTCATCTCACAAGTGAGGCTACTGTACGGAACAGAGGGTATTCCACAGTTCAAAGGAGCGCTGTTATTACTTT